AACAAAGGCTTTTTTAATTCTTCCCTAAAGCAGATGGTATCTTTCCCACATATGTTGTTGCAGCATCTCTATATATAGAACCTAGCATTCTATAAACAGGATGCTCTGGCTGAACAGGTCACTACAAGCAAAACTGTGAGGTTGAGAATGATGGTATCTTCCTGCCTTTCCCCACCTTCCTTTCCTAAATCTCACCAGAGACAGAAAAGCTCTGGAAAATAGTGCAGGATTTGATGTTGGACAGACTGGAGGAATAAATCCTAACTCAACCTTTTATTTACTGTGTGACCTTGAGCAAGTTACATAATTTCTTTGACTTTCACTGGTACAAAAAGAAAAACTTTGGTAGTTTGTATCAAATAAGAAAAATAAGAATAACAGAATAAGACAAAGGCCTTGAGTAATTAAAAATATATATAAGAGTTGGGGATTTAGCTCAGTGGTGCCTTGCCTACCTGGCAAGCACCAAGTCCTGAATTCAGTCCCCAGTATAAATAAATAAATAAGAAAAGCATCTAATATGCTTGGAGCTCAAGAGACATGGGTTTCTGTTCTTCCTCAGTGAGTTTATCATGCATCCTCAAGTTATGCTCATCCTTTGCTTCTTTTCCTAAACCCTATCAAAGTTCCCCTCCCTATGGGAGCTAATATGGTCACGCTGTTTAAAAGAAAGCAAGTCTGATGAAGAACAATGAAAACAATACTGCTGGACCCCTGTGTTAACTCTGTGGAAGGGGTTCCTGTATTTTAAAAAGGATCCCGAAGAAGGCTGTTTAATGCTGAGGCTCTCCTGGAGGATAAAGGACCAGAGTGTCATCTCTTTCTGTGACCACAGCCTTCACTGTTCTCTGAGATTGCTGCATGTCAGCAACAGGTTCAAATAGAACTTGGGAGCCTTGGCTGCCCCTCTTGCTCTAACCCGCACACACCACATCCTTAGCCAGGAAATTGCCATGGTGTTTTTTTCCTAGAAGGTTTCCAACAGTATTTTAAACTCTTTGGAACCAAGCAACAGGATCTGACTATGATCAGAGCCTTGGAACAGTGCAGAAGGTCTGGACCCCATTTCCATCATGCCTATCTTTACAAAATGGTCTCAACAAGGCCAAAATTAATACAGGAAGCAGGATGGGGCTACATCTTGACTTCTCTCAGTGATCCAGGAAGAATGACCTCAAGACTATTTCTAGGTTTTCCATACACAGGATCACAGAAATCAATTATGACTGAAATTGGCCTAAGTATAATCACCTGGCACAATGTGCTATGCTGGTAATTCACAGTTCAGCATGAGAGTTCTCCTTATGAGGCATTCTTTAGCAGCATGTATGTTCTACTTGACTTTCCTGGCAATCCCTGAGGGTGCCAGGGGTACTAGCCCAGTCTGGGGTCTCAGGAGCTGGCAGCTTCAGCAGATATAGAGCTGAAAAGAAGTGTACATGAGGAACAGACTGTCCATGTGGGATTACCCAACAGTTTGCACTTAAGGAACTAGCAGGGCAAAGATAACAACAACAAATATTTTAAATTGTATATTTAACAAAGCAGTCACCACAGTCTAAAAGAAATTTTTGATGCACCTTTTCTTACATTTTGCTGGATTTCCTTATACTTGTTTTGCATGTAATACTGATTTTGAAATACACTCCAAGGATGGCCAGCTACCACCAGAAATTAGAAGGGACAAGGAAGAATTCTTCTTAGAGCCTTCAGGAGGGTCACGGCCCTGCTGACATCATAAGCCTCCAGAACTGTGAAATAATAAATTTCTGTTGTTTTAAGCCACTTAGTTAGAAGTAATTTGTTATGGCAGTCATGGGAACTGATATTCATTCTTGTATCATCACCTTCATTTTCAAATAAAGAAAATTGAGGCCCACAGAGGTCACATACTTTAAGATCTCTACAGGCACTGCTCTGCTGACTTGAGTACTGACTTAGGCTCTTGCTGTTGATATTACTGGCTCTCCCCTGCACCACAGTCACCAGCTTCTAGTAGCACTGGAGCTGAGCTAGTGGAATGGCCCCTTCTTCTAATATATAGGGCCACAGGTTTTTCCCTCAAATGTGGCCACTTTATACTGCAGAGCATTTAGCAGTAGCCTGACCATTGCACTAAGTCTCTTCTCCACAACTCCCCTCCTTTATTTTTCTTTCCCATGCAGTGTCAGAGAGCTATGGTGACAACGTGAGACTGCGTAGGGATTCCCCACCTTATTCACATAGGTGTTTCTATGCCTCCTACTTCTAGCCTGCTGTATCTTTCAAAATTCCTGTCCTTTGGAGCTCTCGGGATTTTGCACATAGCTCACAGTTCATGACTATGAGCAAAAAAGGCAACTTTGTGGCTGTACTGACTTCGAGGACACCAGTCACATAATTGATGAACTCAACCCACCACAGTGGCTCTCTCCTCTGCCAAAGGGATGAGGGAATGAGGGCATTCTCAGAACCAGCTCATCTCCCTGGCATAGCTCCTTGTCTACTCATGGCTCTTCTAGTGTCCACTGCTGCCTATGGAATCCTGCCTGCTTTCCAGGACAGACCTTTGGGTTTTTTGTTTTGTTTTGTTTTCTTGTTTTTGATACCAGGGATTGAACTCGGGACCTTGAGCTTATGAGGCAGCCATGGCACCACTGAGCTAAATCCCAGCTAGCACATACCTTTGGCTCTGGACTCTGCTCTTGTTCTCAGCCACGATCTCTGCTCCAGAGGCATAGGAACCACATCTGCTGTGTTTGTTGCTGTATTGCAGGACTGAGCAAAAGACCTGGCAATTAAATTAGCCCCTCTAGAAATGTTGTTTGGATAAAGATATGAGGGCCAAATTAAAAATTTCAAGGTCTAAGGCCGGGGATTTAGCCTGCCTCACAAGCTCAAGGACCCAAGTTCGATCCCCGGTACAAAAAAAAAAAAAAAAGCAAAGTCCTTTATTCTTTCTTTCTCTCTTGCTCTCTCCTTTTCTTTTTTCTTTTTTTCTTTTGAGACAGATCCTCTGTAGCTCAGGCTGCCCTTGAACTTGAGATCCTCCTGCCCCAGCCTCCCGAGTGCTAGGATTACAGGCTTATACCACAATACCTGGCTAGGACTTCATTTTAACTTGATTACATCTACAAAAACTCTATTTCCAAATAAGGTCACATTTATAGGTTCTAGGTCTAGACGTGAATTCTGGGGATGCTATTCAGCCTAACACAAAGTACCTACCTCATAAAGAGGAATGCATATAAGTCAGGCTGCATCTGACACACGTGTTCTATGTAAAGGTTAGCTACCCTTCTTCACTTCTGGCAGACAATCACTGCCAACAAGCTATGTGAGTGACCTGCACTTCTCTGTCTTGATCCAGAGGCAAACAAATGGGTGGAACTAGAGTCCCAGAAAGAGTTGTAGAGGACAGAATTAGATCCCAACAGGTTTGCTACCATCCAGTTCCCCCTTATCAATATCTTAACACCACCCTAGGCCAGAGTAAGGAAATACTCACTAGTCATTTGTTTTTTGAATATGTAATTTTTCATTCCAAATAAGCGATGAACCTGTCAAGCCCCTTTATTAGAATCCACTCTGGAAGAGCATCCAGAGCCAGATGAGAGGCTGTACGATAGACAGCAGTCTCATCAGTTAAGAGTCAGACTCCAAGTTCTGATTCTAAACTGCTTTACATGGCACATTCGCCAGGCATGGTGGTGCACGCTTGTAACCCCAACATGTGGGAGACTGAGCCAGGAGGGTCACCAAAGCTTGGGGCCGTCCTGGGCTACAAAGTGAGTCAAAGCCAGCCTGCCTTGCAAGTGCAAGGGCCCGAGTTCGATCCCCAGTACTACAAAAAAAAACCTAAATTACTTTTGCTGCATCAAAACATCAAAACCATTCTCTAAAATGGAAATTTGCTATTCTGAAGATCTGATATTTAAAAGAGAGGGAGGGAAAAGAGATTAAAGGCTCCTGCTCTTGCTGCCCCTTCTCCAATAAATAGGCTTAGGAAAGTTATCCAGATGAAAAGAAACAGCACTAGATCCCAACTGCTCTCTATCCAACAAAATAAAATCCAGATGGGCCAATGATTTGTCTCAGTGGCTCCACCGCCTGCCTCACAAGTGAAAGGGCCCAAGTTTGATCCCCAGTACCCCAAATAAAACTGAAAAAAAAAAGAAAATCCAGATGATCAAGTAGTTAAAGATTTAAACATAAAGTATTCAAAAAAATAAGTAACTATTTTTATAATTTTCAGATGGAGAAACATTTTTTCTAAACATTAATAGAAGAATCTGTAAAAGATAATTTGACTACAAAAAATATAAAATTTGTAGACAGAAAAAAATAAAAAATAATTTAAAAATTTATACAGAAAAAGTGCATAAGCAAAGCTGAAATGACAAAGTGGGAACAATTTTATATTACTGTATATGATTTCTATAACATGTTAACTCTTACAAGTTAATAAATTCATTGAAGGAGTGGGGAAATAGCTCAGGGGTAGAATGTTGCTTACTGTGCACAAAGCCCACTGGTGTGATATCAGCAATAGAAAAAAAGAAAAAGAAAAAAAATTGGAAAAATGTGCAAATTACATGAATAAGTGATCCAAACAAAAAAGCACAAAAGTTCAAAATATACTTGTTTGTTTTTTTTGTTTTGTTTTGGTTTTTGAGACAGGGTCTCACTATGTAGTTGAGACTGACCTGGAACTCACTATGTAGCCCAGACTGGTCTCGAATTCACAACGATCCTCCTGCCTCAGCCTCCCAAGTGCTGGGATTACAGGCATGCGCCACCATGCCCAGCTTCAAAATATACTTGTAAAGAAGCTCAACCTTTTATGTTCAAAGAAATGCAAATTAAATTGTATTTATTATTACATCACAGTTATTATTTTAAGTATTTTAAGTGGATTAACTGATTTATTTCACACAATACTCCTTAAAATAGGTGGTATCATTGTACCTACTTTACCAAAGATGAAACTGAGGGAGAGAATTTAAAAGTAAATGACTTACCCAACTTCACACAAAGCAACTGAGTCAGAATTCAAGCCCCAGGAGGCTGGCTCCAAAGTCACATTCTTAACCAAGACCATGTCTCACCTGTCAGATGGAGAAGAAGAAAAAAATCCACAATAGCTGGTGTTATCAAAACCATTGTGGGGGGACCAGGGATTTAGCTCAGTGGTTCTGCCACCTGCTCACAAGTACAGAGTCCAGAGTTCAATCCCCAATACAAAACAAAACAAAACAAAATAAAAACATGGGAACTCCCAGCACTCAGGAGGTGAAGGCATCAGGACTGCCACAAGTCAAGGCCAGCCTGGGCAACCTAGCCATGTAGAGAGATCCTGGCTCAAACTTTTTTGAAAAAGGGCTAGAGATGTAGCTCAATGTGAAGACCCTAGCTTCATTTCCCAATACAGCAAAAATTAATTAATTACTTAATTTTAAAAATTAGATAAAAGTAAAATGAGTGGGGGATATAGCTCAAAGTAGAGGGCTTGCCTAGCATGGCAGAAGGCCCTGCTTCAATCTAGGTAGGAAAAGAAAGGAGGGGAGAAGAGGGGAAAGGAGGGGAAAAGGAAGAAAAGGCAAGGGGAGGGAAGGTGGGAAGAGGCAGGCAATTTTCAGTTCTACTGGTAGAAAAATTTACATCCTCCCCCCATACCAGAAATTGAACTCAGGGTGTCACGCTTGTCAAGCAGGCACTGTGCTGTTCAGATACAGCTGAAATTCCCTGGGAAATTTACATTCTTAAGTGCAATTTTGTTCCATAAAATGTGTACATCCTCTAATTCAATGGTTACATTTCTCACAATTTTGTCTGAAGGAGACAGTGAACAAGTATATAAAGATGTATATACCAGGATACACATCATAGAATGTTGGTAATAACCAAAATACTATAAATAAAAACCCAGAAGGTATATCAAAGGTATAACAAATTCATTCACTCAACAAACACAAATATTAACTGTGTACAGGGAATTCCTCTAAATACTGGGTTTGGAACAATAGCTAAAAATGAAAAAAAGGGACTGGGGATTTAGCTCAATGGTGCTACGGCCTGCTTCACAAGCATAAGGTCCTGAGTTCAATCCATGGTACCCGCCCAAAAAATTTTTTTTTAATTAAAAAGAAAAAGAAAAAAGAAATATCTCTGTCTTCATGGAGTTCACATTTTTTATTTATGTATGCATTTATTTATTTATTTATTTATTTTTGGTAGTACCAGGGCTTGAACTCAGGCCCTTGTGCTTGCAAAGCAGTCAGCGGAACCACTGGGCCAAATCCCTGGCCCTGAAGTTCACATTCTTTTTTTTTTTTAAGGGTTTTTATTTTTTTTGGTACCGGGGATTGAACTTGGGTCCTTGTGCTTGCAAGGCAGGCCACCAAACCGCTGAGCTAAATCCCCGGCCCTGAAGTTCACATTCTTTTTTTTTTTTAAGGGTTTTTATTTTTTTTGGTACCGGGGATTGAACTTGGGTCCTTGTGCTTGCAAGGCAGGCCACCAAACCGCTGAGCTAAATCCCCGGCCCTGAAGTTCACATTCTAATGTGAGGGAGTTAGGCAATAAAGAAATAAGAAAAGTATTTTGTATATCAGATAGCGCCAAATGCTAAAGTTAAAAATACAGGAGAAAAGGGAAATAAGGAAGGAAGAGATATTATTACAATAGTAAGTGAGGGGTTTAGAGGAGACCCCATTGATTACAGATAAAATAAGTGCATTAAATATTAGAGAATAAAATGCATCATGATCTATCCACTCAATGAAACATAATTCAGCCATTTATTCTAGTCTTGAACTCACTATGGAGCCGAAGATGGTCTGGAACTTATAGTGCTCTTCCTGCCTCGGTCTCCTCAGTGATGGGATTACAGGCATGAACAACCACACTTGGCCTATTCTGTATTTATTGACATGAAAAGATGTCTCCAACATTCAATCAAATTTTGTTAAAAATTGCTAAAGAGGGCCAGGGATTTGGCTCAGTGGTTCCGCTGCCTGCCTCGCAAGCACAAGGGCCCAAGCTTGAGCCCTAGTACCCACCCAAAAAAATTACTAAGAGTATTAAGAGGGAAAAAAAGTCTGAAGGTATGATTCATTGATATAAAATTAAACGTGTGTACAGGCTTAAACTTCAACTGGGAAAGGGCCAGGGATTTAGCTCAGTGGTGCCGCTGGCTGCCTAGCAAGCACAAGGTCCTGAGTTCAATCCTGGTACCAAAAAAAAAGATACAACTTCAACTGGGAGAGAGAAACAACCAGAAAAAGACTGGTAATACTCAGCCAGAGTCCAGGCAAAGTGATACAGGTATTGTTTGTCCTCCCACTCACTTTCCTCTCCTCCACACCTACACTTGGTTCCAAAAAAAAATCTAAGGACAGCAAATCCAAACACCCCCACACGTTCTTTAACTTTCCCCATCCCTCCTCATTCTTTTTCTCCTCTGCACAGAAGCCAGGCCACTGATACAGTGAGAAGAGGGTACAAGAAGGATGGAAGGAAGCTGGGCATGGTGGCCCATGCCTGTAATCCCAGCACTTGGGAGGCTCAGGCAGAAGGATCACTGAGGCCAGTCTGAACTATACAGTGAGACCCTGTCTCAAAAAAGGAAAAAGAAAAATAGAACAAAAGGAAAGAAAAGAAAGAAGGATGGAAGGAAACCCTCACAGGATCTGCATGAGATGTGACTTATGTTAGCAAATGGAAAACAGATCTTCCCTACAGATCTGGGGGATGTGAAGCAAGTCCACTAGACTCTGCTTCCTTATTCCAGCCCTACTAAACCCAGGACACATTGCAGAGATCAAGACCCACTCATCACAAGGAGAGGACGAGCACAGCAGACTAGAGCTCTACCTAGCTATTTAGGAGGTTGAGGCAGGAGGATTATGAGTTCAAGGCCTGCCTGAGCAATTTAGCTAGACCCTGCCTCAGAAAAACAAATGGGGGGGGTGTTTTGTTTGTTTGGTTGGTTGGTGTTTTGAGACAGGGTCTTGCTATGTAACTCAGGCTGGCTTTGAACTCACTTTGTAGCCCAGAATGGCCTCAAACTCCCAGTGATCCTCCTGCCTCAGCCCCCACAAGTGCTGGGATTATAGGCATACTCCACCACACCCAGCATCAAGTGAAGTTTTTCTTTTTTTTTTTTTTTATTTTGGTACTGGGGATTGAATTCTGGCCCTTGCACTCTCAAGGGAGGTGGTGGAACCACTGAGCCAAGCCCCTGGATTTTCTTTCTTTTTAAAAGCTAGGGTGGCACGTCAATTTGAATGGAACACCTTCATTCTGGAGTAAGGTTTTAAGTAAACTAGTGGACAGATAGGTCTGGATATATCTGCTTTTATGCAGTAAAAGATGCTTACACTTCTCACCTGGACACAAAAGCACAAACAAGAAATTAGCAACTTTCCAAAAGTAGAATCTCTGTTGCTATTCCCTGTATTTTAAACCTGGGGTAGGCAATAGAGGCACATGAGTAGAGGTAGGGAGTATATGCGACTGTTTCAAAATACTGCTAACATACTCTGTCACCATTTAGACATCAACCATGTACGCGATCCTATGGTAAGTGCTTTCATCTATAGTACCATCATCAAAAATGGCAGCATCATTTTTATTGCAATTATTTTTACATATTTCTACAATATGTTACCAAATTTAAGAACCCAAAAGGATTTGGGTCCAACTGCCCTGATGATAATTAAATACCCAGATCTGATATTAGGAGAAAGGACAGAAACCTGAGATTCTCCTAGGGCTGTGACATAGACATCTCTCTATTTACTAATAAATCAGAGCCTTCAGGTTCAGTCTGCTTCTGATCTTTCCTGGCCTTTCAATGTGGAATATATTCATTCTCTCCCTTTCATCCACACTCCCTGAGTCCCCCACACACTCAATCTGCAAGTGAAAGAAATTCTCAAATCAGGCATGGTGGCACATGCCTGTAATCCCAGCACTTGGGAGGCTGAGGCAGGAGGATCGCTGTGAGTTCGAGACCAGCCTGGGATACATAGTGAGTTCCAGGTCAGATTCAACTACATAGTGAGACCATCTCAAAAAACAAAAACAAGTGAAAGAAATTCTCTGCTGGTGAAGAGTAAAAGATGATTGATCCCCAGTATCCAAATAAAAAAAGAATACAAGATGAGTCAGAAAAAACAATCACTTTTTTAGCAGAGGGATCTGGTTGGTCTCTGCTACTTCTGTCTTCCCCCATCTCCCTCTCTACTTCTCTCTTGTCTTAAAACAAATATGTTCTTACTGAGCAAAATTTATTAGGCTTATCACTATAGAGTAAAATGTAAGAGATCCCTCCTTCAAAAATTTACTTCAGGGCCGGGGATTTAACTCAGAGATTCCACCGCCTGCTTCACAAGAACAAGGCCCTCAGTTCAATTCCTGGTACCAAAAAATAATAATAATAATAATTTACTTCACTTTGGAAAACAAAGTCAACACAAAGGGAATATACTATTAAAAAGGGAAGCTACTGCCTCCCAAGCGCAAGGTCCTGAGTTGTTCAACCAGTACCTAAAAAAAAAAAAAAAAAAAAAGGGAAGCCAAGTGTGGTGGCACACACCTACAATCCCAGCACTCTGTAGGCTGAGGCAAGAGCACTGCTATGAGTTCAAGGCCAGCCTGGGCTATGCAGCAAGTCTGAGGCCAGCTTGGACTATATAATGAGACTCTGTCTCAAAAAAAGGTAGGGGAGGGGGCTAGGAATATAGCTCAGTGTAAAGGTTCTGATTTCATTCTTTAGAACCTCAAAATCTCTAGTACCTCCAATACCTCTGGAGTTCCCAGAATGTTGGTAAATAGAACAGAAAGTATTTGCCAATAAAGCAAACAGGGGTAGATAGAATAAGACAAATGATGGCGCACCCTGATATACACAGATATCTCCCATTTCAAATACAACAAAATCTTCCCCCACAGGAGTTTAGCTCAGTGGTTCCACTGCCTGCCTCAAAGCACAAGGTCCAGAGTTCAATCCCTGGTACCACCCCCAAAAAAGAAGAAGACAACAAAATCTCCCCCTCCCCCCTTTTTTGTCTAGGTATACAAGTATAGAGAATTCTCCTCTTCA